CCTCTGCTTCAGGCAGGGATGAGGGCAATTCAGCAAATTTAATCTGCGACGTGGAAACAGCCTTCAAGTTCTGGCGGTGGGATCTGCTCGGACGAATCTTACGCCAGATGCGTTGTAACCATTTTGGCGAATGATTCGAGCTCTTGCCACGGATCCCGGTGGCATAGTTTCCAGTCTCATATTCCACACTCCCTTCCTCGTCTCCTTCTTCTTTTTCGTAGAATGAGTCTCTTTTCTTAATCTTTTTCGATTTTTTCACTGTTGCTTCTTTTGTTTTGCGGTCATTTCGGTTACTGCGTGGGCAATTGCATGTTGGTGAGTCAAAATGCCTGTAATCTCCGAGGCTGCTGTAGACGGGATCTTCAACAATTTCGGGTTGCTGCACCATTTCGGTCTTCTGCTTCCGGTGCTGCTTCACTGTACCAGAATGATTCGATTCATTTACCTTCCGCTTCCTCTTTCGCAGATTTTCCCTACCTCTTCTACCACTCTGAAAGAGTCGCTTGTGTCGCTGTCGATGGTTCAATTGTAAGTTATGCTGACCTTGTCTTTCTCGTCCTCTCAACTCTGACGTTGAATAAGGCAGTTTGATCAGGTTTTCGTCGATGTTCTGGATACTACTCATCAGCTGACAACACTTTTGCTTGGCTGCTGTTTCATCGTTCAGAAAGAGTCGAATAAACGTGCTAAGCTCTCCGTCACCCAGGAGACTGGAAAAATCTGTACCATTTATTGGATCATCCAATAGGCTTGATATCAATTTGGAGGCAATCGACTTCACGAATGGCGCCTGTGCCAGCCCTTGAGTTTGCTTACAAAGTGACTTTAGCGGAGCGACTTGTTGGTCAACAATGAAAGAGGACGACTTTGCGGACTGACTTTTCGAACTTGAACATGGCGTTCGTGAGTCTGAGCTTTTCCGGTCGGCGATGTCCTTTTTCGAAGACATGCCCTGAGCCATCGGCATTGCCAGCACTTCTTTAAATTTGCTCCAGTTGGCGTCATTATTGATGAACGGGTAGACACGGTCTGTATGTAGACCCGTCTGCGACATTAAACAGCAAGAGTCGAGAATTCCAGACTTACAGCCACAACCTTGGCAACAGCAACATGGTTGATAGCAGGGTTGGCAAGAGCATGGACAACAACAACCACAACCACCTCCCCCTCCGCAACTTAGACATTTGAGCATGATCAGGATAAAGGCCAATTTCTTTACATCATTGGTATCTAAT